AGTCTTGTTCGTATCTTCCCTTCCTTCCGATGTGTCTCCTCCTTACCTCTCAAGTTATTTGGTTGTGTTGTATTTGTCCATATTCCCTCCCATCAACGGTCTAAGCTTGATCCTAAGTCTCTCCAGTGTGTCTTTATTGGTTATTCTCCTACTCAACGTGGCTATAAGTGTTATTCATCCTCTCTTCGTAAGGTCTTTGTCTCTATGGATGTCACTTTTTCTGAGAATGACCCTTTCTTCCCCTCGACTTCTCTTCAGGGGGAGTCTATAGGAGTAGATGAAGATCAGTCATGGGAACCTATTAATGCCACAGTATTACCTCTACTTTTGGAAACAGGGGGAGCTACAGAATCCTCACCATCAGGAGTCTCCTCAACATGGGGACAAGTTTATAGCAGGCGAAAGCCTCCTCAAAGTGTGAATAACCCAGAGCCTCTACACTGCCAGGATTCTGAACCATGTTCTAGTTCCAGCACCCCAATACTTGAGTGTCATGGTGAAAATGATCTACACTTGCCCATTGCTCTCAGAAAAGGTACTCGATCTTGTACTACTCATCCTATTTCTAATCATATTTCATATGGAAAGTTGTCCCCAGGGTTTCGTGCTTTCAATACTATGTTGGATAGTACAAAGATACCGAGAAATATACATGAGGCTCTCAATGATAAAAAATGGAGGGATGCTGTCTTTGAAGAAATGAATGCTTTAGAAAGAAATGGAACTTGGGAGATAGTGACCCTACCCAAAGGAAAAAAGGCAGTAGGATGCAAATGGGTGTTTACAATAAAATTCAATGCAGATAATAGCATCAACAGATACAAGGCAAGATTGGTTGCAAAGGGTTTCACTCAGACTCATGGGATAGATTATCATGAGACTTTTGCTCCGGTTGCTAAAGTCAATACCATCCGAGTTCTCTTATCTCTTGCTGCCAATCTAGATTGGCCTCTGCAACAGTTAGATGTGAAGAATGCATTCCTAAATGGTGACTTACATGAAGAAGTCTATATGGATCCTCCACCTGGTTTTGAAAGGGGAAATGAATCAGTGTGTAAACTAAAAAAGTCTCTATATGGATTGAAACAGTCTCCCAGAGAATGGTTCGACAAATTCACACAAGCAGTCAAAAGAAGAGGCTTCATTCAAGCACAGACTGATCATACTCTCTTCCACAAACACTCTAAGGATGGTAAAATTGCTATTCTTATTGTATATGTAGATGATATAATTCTTACAGGTGATGATATTGAGGAATTGAACACCTTGAAGAAATTTCTAGCAGCTCAATTTGAACTCAAAGACCTTGGCACTCTCAAATATTTCCTTGGTATGGAAGTTGCTAGGAGCAAAACAGGCATCACTCTAACACAAAAGAAATATGTTCTAGATCTTTTGTTGGAAACAGGAATGTTAGGGTGTAAACCTGCTGAGACACCTGTGGAACCTAATACCAAGTTAGGTATTGAAGATGGGAATGAGGTGGATAAAGAACAATATCAACGATTGGTTGGTAAACTAATCTACTTATCTCATACGCGTCCTGACATTGCCTTTGCGGTGAGTATGATTAGTCAATTCATGCACTCACCCAAGGAGAAGCATCTTAGTGCAGTCTATAGGGTGCTTAGATACCTCAAGAATACTCCAGGAAGAGGATTATTCTTTAAAAAGGGGTATAAAAGGACAATTGAAATCTACACTGATGCAGATTGGGCAGGCTCATCAGTAGACAGAAGATCTACCTCAGGCTATTGCACCTATGTGTGGGGAAATCTTGTTACTTGGAGAAGCAAAAAGCAAACAGTGGTTGCAAGAAGTAGTGCTGAAGCAGAATTTCGAGCTTTAGCTCATGGAGTTTGTGAAGGAATCTGGTTAAGAAGACTTCTTCAAGAGTTGAAGATTTCATATTCCCTACCAATAAAACTATATTGTGACAACAAGGCAGCTGTTAGCATTGCTCAAAATCCTGTGCATCATGATCGAACAAAGCACGTGGAAGTTGATCGTCACTTCATCAAAGAAAAATTAGATGATGGAAGTGTGCATTTGATATATGTTCCAACCAAAGAGCAAACGGCAGATGTCCTTACCAAGGGCCTACACCGTCCAGCATTCGAAGACTTGATTGGCAAGTTGGGAATGATCAATATTTACCTCCCAACTTGAGGGGGAGTGTAGAAAATTAGAATTCAAACATGTTTCCGTTTTTATTTCCTATTAATTAGGATTGATTATGATTGATTAGGATTGATTATGATTGATTAGGATTAATTGTGATTGATTAGAATTGATTGTGATTAGGATTGTGATAGGATTGATTAGTCATCGCTTAGTCATTCTTAGCGATTCTTTCTTGTATAAATACTCACTCATGTAATTTATTCAATATCAATATACAAAAACTTCTTTTCAATACAAATTAATCTTTTAATACAAATTAATGTAAATTTCTTGATATGGGTTAGTTAAATATTTTTTTTAAAGTTAATATTGTTTTAACTTTAATTATGGCCAATCAGCTATGCAATGACCCAAATTTAGCAGCCAAGAACGAATGGACTAGGTTCGCTCGAATTGACACCCTTAAACATCTGTTTTGATAATATAAGAGCCGATGACATGTGAGATCTATTATACCATAGGGTTCGCTTTTTAGTTAGTTCACATGCAATAAATTTAACATGATGTTGTTTTGGGACAGAAATTATAGTATTTTTGTAATTTTATTTATTTTAGGATTATTATAGTCTTTATAATTATAATTTTTTAATCTTTTAATCTCAAAACAATACCATTTTAGAAGTAAATGCAGATAACTTATCTGCATTAACTGCAGAAATATTTTTTTGTACAACATATTAGAAAACAATTTCATTTTATCTCATTCCAACTTGAGCAATATAAAAAGAAAAATTAAAGGACAGATGATGGAATGGTCTCTACTTGTGTCTTCAACAATAAAAGCATTTGTATAACTACAAGCAACATTCAAGAACTAAAAGCAAGAAATTAGAATCAGATCGTATGCAGAAATTTAAATCTAAACGCTAACAATAAAAATAGTAGTTTTTTTATGTGATAATTACTTTTCTGTGTTTATGACTAAATCAAATGGTACTCGTGGAAAGGAAGGAAACGCTTGTAATGTATATTTATCAGAAAAACATCAACGATTCAAAATATAATCTCAAGAAAGACATCGTAACCGAAATTAAATTCAGCAATAATCGATTATCAACAAAAAAAGGTAGCAATGATCGGTTCACGTTTAGATAAGATACTCATAAAGCATAAACACGGGATTAAGGAAGCACAGACACTTCTAAAAAAACAGGAAGAGTCGTGTCCGACACGCTCCGACACGGCGACACGCTCCGACACGATGTCGGACACGCAGTCAACTTTTTCCGACACGTTGACCATTCCGACACGCGAATTTGACCGTGTCCGACACGGTCAAATGGCATTTTCGTAATTTTTTTTAATTTTTTTCTTAAAAAATTATTATCTTTTAAAATTAAAATATATTAATAAAGCTTCCACCTGATCATATCAATTTTATTTTTTTGCCTTTTTTTCCCCTTAAGTAGATAAGAGATCATCTCAGCATCACTATTGTCAATTCCTATCACCTATGTAGCACCGATACCGACACGTGACACGATACTCCGACACGTTAATTCTAAAAAATGTTAAATTTCGACACGTTTGGACACGTTTTGATATTAAATAATATTTTTTATTTATGTAGTGTATATTATATTTAATATTCAATAATTTAACAAAAAAATAAAACTAAATTTATAATATTCATTAATTTTGCAAAGAAATATAAGATATCCCAAATGTTTATATTAAACTCAATCAAATGATAATCGTAATCCAATGAATCTAACAGTTGGAACTAAAAACTCAACGCAACGCAATCTTTGAAATTTATTTTGAATTTTTATAACACGTGTTGAAGTGTCGGGGGGTGTCGGAGTGTCGGGAAATGGCGAACACGACACATAAGAATTTTGAAGTGTCGGTGCTTCATAGCCTATCACGCTCTTGTTGTATCTCCTTGTCTCTGATCTCTCTCTAATATGATTTGAACACTCTATCTGATATTATATCTCTCTCATCTCAGTTCTTATTTTTTTATTAAAGCTTCCATCTTTATAACGTGTTCATGGATATTATTAATTTAGTTTCATTTTTTTGTTAAATTATTAAATATTAAATGAAATATACACTATATAAATTAAAAATATTATTTAATATTAAAACATGTCCCAACTAACGTGTCGAAGTGTCGTGTCATATATTACGTGTCGTATCGGAGCTACATAAATTATGGCAAAGCTGAGAGCATTGTAACATTTGGAATATGATTGGGTGGAAATGAAGAGAACATAAACCAAATAAGGTGGAATTTTTAGTGTCTCAGAGCCCGTCGTACATTCTTACAGCTTCTTAAAGCCACGTATGCTTTAAAACGGATTTTCCCGAATCTTAATTAAAATTTTATTGTTATCCTGCATCACTAGTGAAATTACACCGTAGTTTTATATTTTCAATATTATTCTACAACTTCACATTTTTAAAAGGGATTCTAGTTTGTCCTTTAACATGACACAACAAAATTTCCTATACACATAATATTTTGTGAACCCTGCACTTTTTAAAGTAAAAAAAAAAAAAATTAAGACACGCAAAATAAATCTCTATAACATTACACAATCACTTTTCCTATAAACTAACTATTATAAAACCTTTTTTACAATTACAATACAACCAGTAATTGTAGGCCTTCCTACGAAATGTTACGTGATTGTCACCTTAACCTAAAATTTTGTGAAAATCAGTTAATCTTTAAAGCAAATAAAACATCTAATCGCTTAGTCTCAACAGCCCAGATACTACACACTTTCACAACAAAACCCATAATTTAGCCAATTCCTTATGAATGCAATTTAGCATTATATTTTATAATATCTACAAGAAAGGTATATGGAGATGCTGCTTTCCATTGAGTTGATGGGTCATCAAGAGAACATATTAGAGCAGACATTTAACTTCAGTGCTCATGACTTGATCTAATAACATTACAAATTAAATCTGGGCATAAGTTAAAAATTATGGGGCCACAAAAATCATTCATAGTAAATTATGAAGAGGGCTAGTACATAACAGGAAAAATTGTGAACCCGCCAAGCGAACGGCTGAAAAGTAACTAAAGGCAGCAAAAGTAATATACTCAATATTCGAAACAAACCACGGTCATTACAAAATCGAAACAAAATCTTCTCTGGTCACCAATGCTGCTGCTTCCACAAGCTTCTTAACGATTCGCCTTGGCAACTCTCTCAATTTCATCCTTTTTCTTTATAGCATAACTGAAATGGAGTAATATATTTTAGCATATCCCAAAAAACAAAAAACAAATCAAATCAAATCAAATAAAAAATAGAGTAGATCAAATACATCAGAAAATGCATACTCAAGGAATAGCATAGTAAAAGTATTTACCTGTTGGAGGAACCTTTTGCTGCATTAATAAGTTCATCAGCCAGGCATTCAGCAATTGTCTTAATATTTCTGAAAGCAGCTTCACGTGCACCTGTTGTTAAAAGATAGATGGCCTGATTAACACGACGAAGGGGTGAGATATCCACAGCCTGTCTCCTAACAACTCCAGCAGAACCAATTCGGGTTGCATCTTCACGAGGACCACTGAATAAATGAAAAATATACATATACACAATCACATAGGTCACAGAGATAATATATTGAAACTAAAGTAATGTAGTATTTGATTCACAACAGTACATATTGAGAACTACAAAAACATTATTCATGTTGCTACAGTTCTATGGTAACATATTAGTGCCCATTTCGAATCTCTAGGTATATGACATACCAATGTTTACTTTTACAGTATCAGTGCCCACTATACAAATTTTTTGTATTTCACATTTTATGAAATATGTCCAGCATACACAATTTGCCCAAGAAAAATCTAAAAGTTCACTTCAACGTTGCTTAGTCTACATGATAATTACCTGAGAAAATGAAAATCTAACATGACATATTTAAGCAACAACCACTATCGAGTATCGAAGGGTGATGGACCATTTTTTCCAAATTGGGTGATGTTGAATACATGAAAATAAACAAACAATACTTATATTTGAGCTATTAAGGAGAATGATCAGATAGAGCTAATACATAAATGCCATCATCCAGGCAATCAAACCAATAGGGAAACAAGTAATCATCATGTCATTCTCCAACTCTGAATGTGATTGGTCTAAACCATAAAATTAAGGTACCTTTAAGATTAAACTTGGGTTTCCTTTACCCCAGGTAAGATCACCTCAAGCAATAAACAAATAAAACATTTGAAAAAAAAAATTGCACAAATACAAGTTGACATGCTCTAACACCAGCCTCCGCAACTGAGTTTCTCCTTCCAAAAAGAAAAAATATTTGATCAAACATATCTAATTAGGAATGACAAAACAAAATATGCAGAGAGAGAGGGAGATAAGGAGAATGATCAGATAGAGCTAATACAAAATGCCATCATTTAGGCTATCAAACCAATAGGGAATAATAATCATCATTCCATTCTCCAAATCAAGCCACACAAGTAGCTCATAAAATACTTTTAAATTGAAACATCATTCAAATCTACAATATCAAACAAAGGTTTTTCCAACATGGACCTTTAAATTTCTGCATTGACAAGCTTGCTTAACTTTCTACTAAACCAAACTATAAAAGGCATGGCCATCAACAGTTAAACCACGACATAAAAAGCTAATCCCAGCACCAGTACATACCTGTTGATGACAGCATCGACAATAACCTGAATTGGGTTCAGGTCACTCAGCAAATGAATAATTTCCATGGCATGCTTGATAATCCTAACAGCCATAAGCTTCTTGCCGTTGTTTCTACCATGCATCATGAGAGAATTGGTGAGCCTCTCAATAATGGGGCACTGTGCCTTCCTGAACCTCCTGATCGAGAATCTACCAGCAGTGTGAGGAACAGATGTTGCATGCTTGGATGCCACCACTCCAATATAATCAGCCAGAGAAATATCATTAACCTAAAAACTCAAAAAAAAAATTGAAATAGAAATAAAAAAAGCATTTGAGAGAAGAATACAACAAAAACATATATAAGACAATCAATTAAAAAACAATAATTTTCAAGGAAAAAAAAAAGCTTTTTCAATTAAATAATATTTATAAAAGTATAATAATTAGATTTTTTTTTTTTTTTTGGAATAGTGTAAAAAACCTAAAAAATCTTTCTCGCAAAATTTAAAAGGAAAAGAATTGGTACTAAAAAAAGGAAAAGAAAAGAAAATTACATCATAAAAGTTTAAACTAATAATTAACTACTGGATTTCATTTACCGTCTAAAATTGCTATTTCGTATAGTCTAAATTTGATGAAGGCGTAGAATAGAACTGTTAACTATAAAACAAATAAAAACGAGGAATAATTACTGAAAATCGTTATGATTTTTCTGCACATCGAGATGCAGAGTGAATAGAAAGATAAAAGGAAGAATGGGAGAGATGAAGTACCTGAATGTCTTCGAAGCTCCATCGGTTGAAGAGCTTGATTTCGAGCTGTGTTGGATCTGGAACAATACCAGCTTCGTGGATGACGTCAGCCATGGCTGCATAATCAATTGAACAAAGAGAGTGTTAGCGAAGGCAAATGAGGATCCGAATGAAAGCAGACAGAAGCAGAACGTAAACAAACCTGGTGTTGCTGCTGAGGCACACAAAATGCGATAATGGCGGGGGATGGAAACGCAAATCAAAACCCTAGTTTTTGGGGTTAGAGACTTCGAGCATTTAGGGTATTTATTTATAAAATGATCAAAACCCTATCAGAATATGTGATTGGGTCGACCCAATACTCATCAGGTATTTTATCTGTTCTATTGTTATTATTATTTTATTTTGTTAAGTTCTTCGTTCGTTTTTGTCTATTAAACAAATAAGTATTGTATCACCTACTATTATTATTATTATTATTATTATTATTATTATTAATAAAGATGTTATATTTATGATTTATTTTCTCTTACAATATTTTATAATTATTTATTTTTTCATTTGATCAAAATCAAATCAATAATTATAAAATAATAACAAGTGAGAACCGTTAATTTGATTTTGCTCAAATTGTAAAAAAGAAAAAGTTATTATAAGAAATTATAAGGAAAAATAGATTGTAAGTATAACTTCCTTCTATTATTATTATTATTATTTTTTCAAGTTCTATTAAATAAATAATAAAACAATTTTAAATATCTCTAATATTTGTTAAAATTAAAAGTATTTCTATTTTTTTAATCAATAATATCTTTAACATTTGAAACACTCGTATCATTCCATTAATTTTAAATAACACTATCAAATTTTATCACATTATAACTATTTTGATCACCAATTGTCTAAAAACACAAATGAGCATAGTTTGCCTCTTACCTTAGTTTTCTCTCCAAATTTTAGGGTAACTTTATGCATTAGTTTCTATATTTCTTTTCTCTTAGGTAATTTCTTATTCAATTATTTTATACAATGATGATGACTTAAAAATTTAAAAATAAATTATTACATAATAATAAAATTTTATAACTGTTAATGACTGATTATTTTATGGGGGAAAGTCTCTCTCACGACTTGTTGAAAGAGCATCATATGACAATAAGACAAGTGAATTTTATTACAAATTATAATAGAAATAGAGTAGTCACTAATTTAATTTGAATGAGATAAACTTTAGTTCACGTAAATATGAGTCATTTTCCTATGTCACAACCATGAGTCATCTTTTTTGCTAATTACGCATTGATATTGACACTAAACATATAGATATTGCTTACATTACGACTAACTAACTTAACTTTGTTTAGTATATTTTTCCTATGTGAATATGAGTATCTTCTTATGTCATTTGCTAATTACGTATTGTGCATCAATTGAGGATATGCTATCTAGACTAATCATATGGATGTTGCTTATACTATGACTAACTTAACTTTGTTTATTATATTTTCCTTCAATTATGCAACAATTTGAGTCAAAGATGGCCCTTATTTCCTTTTCACATAGTTGATTAATTCAAGATATAATGCATTTTAATGAGTACTTATTACCTTTGTTGACTCCAAAAACTCTTTTAATGTAAATGTCTCCATAAGTAACATGGATACCTTTCTTGGGAGTAAGATAAGAAAATTCGGATTTGTTTCATATGGCTTGAGTATCCACAATACTAATTGGGATAAATTATTCTACTTATTTTTTTTTCTGTCTATCTTTGACTACTACTCTCCAATATTATTAGATCAGAATCTCAACTGCTTTTATCATTTTTCTCTCTTATTAAGATTCTGATCTTATAATGTTAAAAAGTGACAAGCAAAGGTAGACCGGACAAAAAAGATAAATAGAATAACATATCTCGTACTAATTAGAGCTCTAATGACTTTTGAGGCACGCTTACGAAATATTTTAAGTACCCAATTCTTCTTTTTTTTGGGTAAAAGTGCCGTAGTCTTCTTGACTCCTTTGTATTAGTTTTTGGCAATGAGTCCTTCAAAATCCACATTTTCCTTTCAATAACAAATGCATTCTTCCTTATGTTATATGCATATGCACTATGTGCATTCATTCCACAATGGAAACCTACTGAAAGGACTATTTAAGGAGCTTGAGGAAACAAAGAAGTTTTTGTAGACTTTTTGTTGTGTATTGGACTCATATCCCCATCCGGTTTTGTCAAACATACACCTTTGTTTTAAAAGCAAGATGTTGAAATTGTCCCTTCCCTTCTTAAACTTGGCAAGAGAGTATTTTAAATCTTAAATTTCTTTTTCTAGTACTTTACACGTAATGCAAGAAGATTGTTTATGGATTTTACATACAATTCTTCAAATGCCGTTTGCATTTCATTATATGAAGGTGAAATGTCATCACATGAAGGTGAGATTTCAAGATTAAGAGATTCTACTTCATCTTCATCGTGATTGGCCATGAGACCAAATGAGCTTCCTCATAGTCTTTATTGTCCGTGGAGTCCAATCATTATTTCCTACACGATGTAGGTCTTTTCTTCTTCTCTGTGAATGTTCTCTTTTCATATTTTTCTGCTTTCTTTTGATAGTTTGTGTTGTAAATAATTATTATTTAGTCATTTATTTGTTGTATTGGGCCAAAACCATTAGGTCAAAATTAGGTCAAGTATTCTCTATAAATAGAGAACCCTTTGTACAAATTATATACAATTCAATAATATTTCAAATACCCTTTTCTTTCAAGTTTGTATCAGAGCTCTCGATCCTGAGGGCTCTGGTTCCGCGCCTATTGTCTTTAGAACAAGAACATTTTATTCTTTTTGTCTCTCGCTGCCATCAGTCGGCACCGGATTTTTTCCGGGGGCCTCTTGGACCGAGAAGATCTCTGTTATACTGGATCTCTGTTACTGTTCATCATCTCCATTATTCTTCATCACAAGACAGCATCTGTTCATCACGATTGGACCCTTTCCCGGTGGTTTTTCAACTCCGAACAGACCCAGAAAGAACCGCACTCACCGGACGACGTTGCTCCAGAAATTTCAGACCGGACGGCCACCGCACGCGCCCACACGCGCCGCTCCTTCAACAGCGAGTGAATCCCACGCGCAGCCAATCTCACCAGCGCGTGGCGGCGCGTGAGACCATTTTTCCGAATCGGACCACCGCGATCTTGATCGTCCCTTCATCCTCTTTCTGGATATGTGCTCCTCTCTTTGATCGGACATCGTTTGGTATTTATTTGTGATTTTTTGGCTTCTTGGAGCTTTTCTTTAACCATTTTCTGTGCAGTATGGCCTCTTCTCAAATGAGTTCTTTTTTAAAATTTTATGATGGTACCTCTTCTAGACCTAAGAGAGATGACCGATGGTGTTCTTATTGTAAAAGAATAGGTCATATCAAGGATTTATGCTTTCGCCTTTATGGAAAGCAAACTGTCTTAGAAAAGATGGCAAGGATCGTGGTCAAGCGCATTTTACTTCTTCTGAAATAACCCCTGCACCTAATGAGACCCAATCTGCATTTCGTCCAGATGAGTTGGAACGACTCCGAACCATTCTTGATTATCTGAGTAAGCCATCTGATACTAGTGCTTTGGCTATGACTGGTATGAGCTCCAAAACTCATTCTTTCATTTCTTCATGTAATGATTTTAAACATTCTTGGGTTGTTGATTCCGGTGCTACTGATCATATGGCTTGTTGTGCTGACTCCTTTATTTCTTATCATCCTACCATTGGAACTCATACAATATCCATAGCTGATGGCTCACATACATCAGTTGCGGGTTCTGGTGACATAAACTTACAGCAGTCCTTACATCTTAAGGATGTTCTTCTTGTTCCTAAACTCTCCACGAATCTTTTTTCTATTCACAAAATTACAAAAGATTTGAATTATACTGTAACCTTCTTCCCTACCCATTGTGTTTTTCAGGATCTCACCACGGGGAAGACGATTGGTAGTGCTAAAGAGCAAGGTGGGCTGTACTATCTGGTGTCACAATCTCCCGCAAATAAAGTAACAGATCACACCTTCATGTCTCATGGTCAATCAACTGCTGATTCTTTAATTTGGCTGCATCATAAGCGTTTGGGTCATCCTCCATTTAGTTTACTCAAATCTTTATTTCCGTCATTGTTTTTGTCTAAGTCTGTTGAGTCTTTTCATTGTGATGTTTTTGAATTTGCTAAGCATCATCGAGTGTCTTTTCCTTCTAGTATTACTAAGAGTGTTGAACCTTTTGAACTTATTCATTCTGATGTTGGGGTCCTTCTAAGGTCCCCCATTCTTCTGGAAATAAATGGTTTGTTTCTTTTATTGATGATTGCACTCGTGTAACTTGGGTTTACTTAATGCGTGAAAAGTCTGAGGTACCACAACTGTTCTTTCAATTTTATAAAATGATTGAGACTCAATTTTGTAAAAAAATCAAAAGACTAAGGACAGATAATGGTACTGAATATGTCAATCACTCTTTTTCCCAATTTATACAAAATCAAGGTATGATTCATGAACTTACTTGTGTAGACACCCCTCAACAAAATGGGGTTGCTGAAAGGAAAAATCGTCACCTTCTTGAAGTTGCTCGTGCCTTACTGTTTCAAACACATGTACCCAAATGTATTTTGGGGAGATGCCATTCTTACTGCAGCGTTCTTGATCAATCGTCTACCCACTCGGGTTCTCGATCATGTAAGTCCTATTCACTCCATGACTTCTTTTTTTCCTTCTGTTCCAACTTTGCAAAGTCTTCCTCCTCGAGTGTTTGGGTGTGTTGTCTTTGTTCATATTCATAAACAGCATCGCAGTAAGTTGGATCCTAGGGCTCTTAAATGTGTCTTCCTTGGATATGCTCTTGATAAGAAGGGCTATAAATGATATCACCTTGGAAGTCGGAATTTTTTTGTTTCTATGGATGTTACATTTCAGGAATCTGAGTCCTTTTTCCAAGGTCCTCATCTTCAGGGGGAGAATAATTCACCAGAAGACTCATCACCTTCCTTCTTTGAATCTTCAGTGTCTACTCCTTCACCTGTGTCAGTGTATCCTCGTCTTGGTCCTGTTCCTCCTGTGTCTGTTCCTCTTGTGAGTAATCCTCCTATGACTGATTCTCCTGTGATTGATACATCAAGTACACCAGAGATACGGAAGGTTATGACACCTGAAAGAAGGAAACAGCCCACATTGTCTCAGCAGCAACCTCAATCGTCTGAACCACTGGTAAGTCCTGAATCTCATATTTCTGATCATGATGTTAATACTTCTAATGACTTACCCATTACTACTGATTCTGATGATTTACCCATTGCTCTTAGAAAAGGAAAAAGAGCTTGTCCCAAGAAATCTTGTCCCTCTTGTACTCAATACCCTATCTCTCATTTTGTTTCCTCTGCTAATCTTTCTGTGCAGCACAAAAGCTTTGTTTCAGCACTAGGCTCTATTGCAATCCCAAAATGAGTACATGAAGCCTTGAAAGATAGGAATTGGGCTCAAGCCATGCAAGAGGAGATGAATGCTTTGGAGAAAAATAAAACATGGGAGGTTATTGATAGACCCAACGGAAAGAAAGCAGTAGGGTGCAGATGGGTTTATGCCCTGAAATATAATTCTGATGGCACTCTTGAGAGATACAAGGCTCGATTAGTGGCCAAAGGTTACACTCAAACCTATGGCATTGATTATGAAGAAACCTTTGCTCCAGTTGCAAAGATGAATACAGTAAGAATCTTGTTATCCCTTGCTGCCCATTACAATTGGGATATAAATCAATTTGATGTCAAAAATGTTTTCCTCAATGGTGAGTTAGAAGAAGAAGTCTACATGGAAATCCCGCCTGGTTTTGATTCTGTGAAGGGGGAAAATAAAGTTTGTAGATTAAAAAAGGCCTTGTATGGATTGAAGCAGTCACCTCGTGCTTGGTTTGGAAGGTTTACTAAGGTTATGATGACCTTAGGATACAGACAGAGTCAAGGAGATCACACTCTTTTCTTCAAGCACTCCCAAAATGGGAAGCTTACTGTGCTCCTTGTATATGTTGATGATATTATTATCACAGGTGATGATTTTGTGGAGAGACAGATTCTGCAAACATGGCTTGCCTCTGAGTTTGAAATCAAAGACCTTGGAAAACTGAGATATTTTCTAAGGATAGAAGTAGCTCATTCAAGCAAAGGAATTTTTATCAGCCAGAGGAAATATGTTTTGGATCTTCTCAAAGAAGCAGGAAAGCTCGGGTGTAAACCCTCTAATACTCCTATTGAGCAGAATCACAAGATGGGCTATGAAGAAGAGAGTCCTCCAGTTGATAAAGGACAAATCAACGACTAGTTGGGAAATTGATATATCTGGTCCATACTAGACCAGACCTAGCTTATGTTGTTAGTGTTGTCAGTCAGTTTATGCACGATCCAAAGGAAAAACATATGCAGGCAGTAGAGAGAATTCTTCAGTATCTTAAAGGTACTCCTGGTAAAGGATTGTTATTCCGACGTGATGACAATCTATCTTTAGAAGTCTACACAGATGCTGATTATGCTGGATCCGTGACTGACCGTCGTTCTACCACTGGTTATTGCATGTTTCTTTGCGGTAACTTGGTGACATGGAGAAGTAAGAAACAAGATGTGGTTGCCAGATCAAGTGCAGAAGCTGAATTTCGAGCTATGGCTCAAGGCATTTGTGAGTTACTGTGACTGAAAATTATACTTGATGATCTCAAAATAAAATGTGAGGGACCTATGAAACTGCTATGTGATAATAAGTCCGCTATTTGTATAGCTCATAATCCAGTTCAACATGATCGGACTAAACATATTGAGGTCGACCGCCATTTCATCAAAGAGAAACTTGATAGCGGGTTGATTACCACTCCATACATTTCCACTGGGCGTCAATTAGCTGATCTATTAACAAAATGGGCTTCCTTCAGATAGATTTCAAGAACTTACTAGCAAGCTGGGAATGATAAATATCTATTCCTCAGCTTGAGGGGGAGTGTTGTAAATAATTATTATTTAGTTATTATTTAGTCATTTATTTGTTGTATTGGGCCAAGACCATTAGGTCAAAATTAGGTCAAGTATTCTCTATAAATAGAGAACCCTTTGTACAAATTATATACAATTCAATAATATTTCAAATACCCTTTTCTTTCAAGTGTTTGGATACTCTATCTAGATGTGTTTAGGCTTTCCGAAACTCATAGCAAGTGTGTACATTGCTTGATGGCTCACCAATGACAAAATTATTCTTTTGGAAGAAAAGAAGCTCTTTGTGGTTCCCTTTCTCCTTAAAAAAATCTTCTAAATTTAAGTTATTTTCATCAAGCTCCATGGATTCGTCCTTATTATATTCTTCATATCCATCATAGAAGAGGAGACATTGAGTGCTAGTTCCCTTTTCTTCTTGTCACTCTCCTCATGTTGATATAGTCTAATTAGCTCCAGTTAACGTTCTTATAATTCTTCCAATAATATGACAAGAGTCATGACTGCAAGATTTCTTAATTCAGCTATTGTTGTTGGCCTTGGTCATCATTCCGTACTCAAACACCTTGGTACTTTGCTGATAAGATCTTTCACTAGAAAAAAAATTTCCATTGACACAAGACGATTAACAACAATATGAGTAACACTTTTATATGTCTTGAATTCCTTATTTTATTCTAAATAACTCATACATTTATTCTAGTCCTTTTCACTTTACTGGTAACTTCATGTGGTGTGCGTGTAACATCTTCGATTCAACAGAAATTTTTATTCTCTCCTTCCAATAAAATAACGATTGAGATTTGGCAGGCCTATCCTAAACATCAAGAGAAAGGGCAAACTGAAATTTTGTAAAGCTTTCCATACACTTGACTCCGATCAAAGTATATGCACGATGCAAGAAACTAGTTCCTCTAGTTGTCACTTGTTCTTATTAGTACTAACTGCCTTTTTCATTCGCTGTTGTTTGCAATTATCTTTTTCCGTAAAATCACTCTTCCACTAGCTACTAACGACCAAATACTTTATGGTTGGGTAAAATAACTTTCTGACTAAGAAACGAAACAGAAATTTGGTTCGACGTTTTACATATTAACATTCAGAAGTCAATATTTCTCAAAAAAAAATTCACGAAATGACCAAATGTCAATTATGCTTGGTGTCAAAGGAAAATGAATTTGAATCTCTCTTAATTTTCACTTTGTAAAAGCAAGACAAACCCAGCCAACATACTTAACAATTTTCCAGTATCGCCATTAAAAACATGCCATAGATTTTAGATCACAAGTATAATTAGTAACTACTAACTACATCTCAAAACAACGAAAAGAGTGTAAAAAAAAAACATAATATAAAAGTCAAAGCACTCCAAAACTCAGCCATCTCAATCTTAAGACGGGACGTCAAAACTCAAGTCATAATACGGGCATAAAAAATATCCAGGACAATAACATTTGGTATCTGCTAACTACCACAACAAAACAGCAATGTTTTACTAAATCCAGAGGCAAACCATGAGACCCCTTAGCGCAACCTTCTTGCTTCTCTTTCAGATTCGAGTAGGGTGAGAATGTCGCCTTCTCTCACTGGTCCTTTCACATTCCTCATGATGTGCCGGTTCTGATCATCCAAAAACTTAACTTTGACCTGAGTCACTTGCCCTCTAGATCCAGTACGACCCATAACTTTGACAACAATAGCATGCTTTACCTGAGATTCCATCCTGCTAAAACACAACCAACAAAAAGGTTAATGATTGTGGACAAGATGGCTGATATTGCATCTAGATGGAGAAAAGAGTGGAACAACATATGAACCACACAGATCCAAAATATAAAATCAAAAAATTCACAAGAATTCATCCAACAGCTAATGTCAACGTTTGAACAGAGCGAATAATAAAAAAAAAACCATGTACACTAAAATGAAATGTACTCCGCCATGGTTAAGTGAAAATTAAAATCAACACCAACCCCACGCAACAGTTCTCATAGTTGCATGAGGCTTTAAGAGATCCTCAATCACTATGCGAATGGAATTCATTCAGACCATATAGGCAATCCAGATTACAGTACTCTTAAGATAACCATAAAGGCTAATGGCAGCTCAACAACTATATAAACATAGAAAGCCTAATTGATTTCTGAGCAAGAATGTGAGCAGCTTTATCTTGCAAATATAATTTCAAAAGCTTCATAGCAAACTTCATAGATATTTCAAAAATTTGTTCCTACAGAGAGGTTTAATATAATATGATGAAAATCAAGTTCTATTATAACAAAAGAAGGTTCAACTCAATACAAATATCTGATGAGGAAGAGTATCCATATTTCACATCCTAAATGGAACTAAGGAGTGTCAAATCCCTAGTTTAAAGAAGTCAGATGCTAATAACAACAAAGTAAACCATTTTATCCATTTAAATAAAGCTCAGCGATTTACTATTATACCAAACATGCCGCAACACCTCAATACTTTATTCTAAGCTTCAAAAACTTGGTCACACAAACTTAAATTTATCTTCTCTCATAGCTGTGAAAGTTTGAATCAGATGCTGTAGAATCTCAAAAAAAAAAAAAAAATTACTAAATAACTAAAGCATGATTAAAAGAAGAAACCCCGAAAAAATGCAAATTAAAATACACACAAATATATATACCGAACCAGGAGCGAGATCGACGTGATCACCACACCCACATAAATTTAAACAATGCGACTTAGATAACAATCACAGTGACAGACACCCAAATTAGAAAATAAAACAGAATTCACGGAAAAAGTAAAAGGACAAATCAAAGCACATGCCAATAAGCTACGCAGATTTTTAAAAGAACAACATTAAAAAGAACGAAGAAAATGAGGATTTACCTGGGATAAGGAAAAGGGAAGAGGAGGCTAGGGTTAGCGGCGGCGTCTCTCTCTTTCTCTCTACTCGCAAAGAACAACGCGAGTAATGAACCCTACTTACTGAAATTTATAGAGAAACGCCGTTTTTGAAATGACAATTCTAGCCATCAAATAAATGATAAGAAAAACAAAAATATAAAAGAAGAGTGAGAGAATAAAAAAAATTAAAGAAAAGAAAATTTAAAAAAAAAATGTATATTTACAATATAATCTTTTTAATGTTTTGATGAATTATTATTTTTAACTAATTAGAATATTAAAAAAAATTTCATTTTTTAAATTATATAATTATTATAAAAAAATTCAAACATTTTTTTTAATAAAAAGGTGCCTTTTAAAAAAAAACAATATACTAACAAACGAACTCTTAAAAACCTTAAAAAAATTAGAATAAACTAATTCAAACACGTGTTTAATTTCTCTCAATTCTTCCTGTATTAATTAATTAATTTCTTTTTGGATTTTAATTTCCTAAAAGCTATTAAAATAGCTATTTTGAGGTTTTTATTTTTTTCAAAAAAATTATATAATTATTAAAAAAATTATTTCAACATATTTTTTAATTAAAAATATTTAAAAAAATGCTAAAATATAAGTTATCCCCTTGAACTTTGATCATGTTTTAAATTACCATCTTTTACTTTTAATTGTTTCAATTAACCTCATGTACTTTATAGGAACAGTGACCAAAATGTTACTGTTCACCAAGTTTTTTACCTAAATGTTACGCGAACAGTGTTATTTTTCAATCTTCCACGGGGCAAGTTCGCTACCCGGTGTAGCGAACTCAGTTTGCTGACGTGTCACGTTTCTAGTGGACACCAAAACTTGGTTTTAACCAAGTTTGCTACCCTATGTAACGAATTTCATAGTTTTTTTTTTAACTTGGTACTTGTTATCCGCTTGAAATGTGACACGTCAGCAAATCGAGTTCGCTACACCGGGTAGCGAACTTGCCCCCCGCGGAAGATTAGGAAATAACACTATTCGCGTGGCATTTAGGTAAAAAACTTGGTGAACAGTGACATTTTGGTCGGTGTTCCTACTTTATAATTGTTTAAATCAACAATTTTGTTAAAAAATTTACAAACTTTGTTAAACCTCCTCACATACCCTAAGCTCCAAATCTCAAAAATTTCTTCTCTCTTTTATTTTATGTTATCCCGTCTCTTATTACAATATGTTCTCACCTATAGAACTGTATTGTTAATATATTCAACAGGTTTCACGGCTAAAATATGGGTCATTTGGAAACGTGATGCTTTAGGCATTCAATTCCTTAGAAAAACCTTCCAAGAGCTTAGCTATACATGTCTCTCTTGAGGATATGAGATAAACTCCTCTCAGACTCGGAATATATGTCCAACTATGTCTGACAGTCCACATGCTTAAGGTAGATTAAAACGGTGAAATAACATAGAAGCTATAGTTAAACTCTAAAGCTTGCACTGGGCTGCTATGCAGAAGGGAACTGCTAAACTACAGGTGGCAACCCCAAAAATAAAACCACCAAACATAAAAAGAACTAGCCATGTCTCCTTTGTAGCTAGAAGATATTAAAATTACATTTAATCAGTTCCCTTTGTTATTCAGAAGAGTTACACCACTTTAGACGATCCATTTATTTACTTGTAAGTGCAAAAGCATTGAAGTAATGTGCCTAGTACTTGGATAAAAACTCAAAGAGAAGAAAGGTTGAGTGGGGCTGATAACATGTATCAAGTTTCAAGACATGATGTATGCAATTGATGAGAGCTTTCAAACGTAAGAAACAAAAGCCAATTGATTTTATTAAGTAAAAAGAGAGAAGAAATTTTTGAGATTTGGAGCATAGGGCATGTGAGGAGGTTTAACAGAGTTTGTAAATTTTTTAACAGAATTGTTGATTAGAAACAATTATAAAGTACATGGGGTTAATTGAAACAATTAAGAGTACAAGGGGGTAATTTAAAACATGGTCAAAGTTCAAGGGAGTAACTTATATTTTAGCCTTAAAAAAAACATGAAAGATACAGAAAAAATATATTGACTCTAAAACAAACTAACTAACTAACTATACCTCTCTTTTAACTTTGTTCTTTTACAAATTGATACAATTGATTTTAAAAATAGAGAAAAAAGTTCTTAATTCTCCATTTATATTAAACCTTTGACTAATCTATTATTAAAAATCTAATTTATAATTTTTTTATAATAGGATGAAACCAAAAAAATAAAATAAAAATTATTACATGAGATGCTCTCTCTCTTCCTATGAGTTGTGGGGCCGACAAAACGGGCTCAAATCGCCCCACTGACCTGTCCCTCTTGCCAAACAGGACGAGGAAGGCTGAGTCTTACAAGCCTCTTAACCTGCCTAGCCTGCCCTACCCATTTCATTGGGCTGAGTTTTTTGCTTTTTCTAATGTAAAACAGGCTCAAGCTAGCTAGGCGAACCGAGTTTTTCAGCCCACTCTCAAAAGCGGGATGGGGTGGGATGATTTATTTTTTGAGGGGTTGATGGTGGGGAAAAGTTGTGCCACCTTTACTTGTGACTATTTGCACTTCATTAAATAATAAAAAAATGGTGTAGTGATTCGTCAAGTAAAGGTGCCCACGTCAAGTTCATGCAAAACACTTAACACTACTTCTACAATAACTACATATCTAGCAACATAGCCTATATAGTAATGATATTTGGGGTATTGATTATACTGTCATATGTTTTTAAAAAATTTACCTAAATGCCACGTTTTAGAATTTAAATGTCAAAATGCCATGTTTACAGGACCCGCTCTGAGCACCGACTAGTCCCTACATGCTTGACATGTGACACATTACGCAGGACCTATCAAAAAAAGAAGTTGGCCTTTTGCATTTTCTTTTTTCAAGACCTATCAACAACATCAATGGGTCCTTTTTCCTATACGATACGTTGGCAAAGGTCTTGGAAAAAAATGCAAAGGATATGTTTCCTTTTTTGACGAGTCTTATAAAATGTGTAGATATAATGTATGTTTTGATGATAACAAAATGAAAATAACAAAAAGAGAAGAGCATTGATCAAAATCAAAAAGAATCAACCATGTGTAAATATTGAAGATACATGATTGAGCCGCACAAAAAGAGTAATGAGATATTAAAGTGACAAGAATATGGATGAGCTATGAAAATATATAGTAATGGATCAAGAGAAACAAAGAAGAATAAGAAAAGAAAAACCAATATCAAAGGCAACAAAACCATGGACAACCTTGAAGAAAAGAAAAAGGATCAAAACCAACAAAGCGTCAAGTATTGTCATATCCAACAAGTCAAGCATCAAGTTCAAGTGAGGATCGAGATCCAAGAATTCACACAAGAAACTAAGGCCATGTTCCTATTAGATTACACTTTTAGGACTTATATATGATTGTAAGGGCATATGATAGATTGCATTGCATAAACTCAAAGTTTTTCTCAAAGTAAATATGTTTTTCAAATTGCATAATCCATGACCTTTAAATAATTAAAAGAATTTGAAAATCTATGGAAATGATCTTTAAAATGTTTTATAACTTCAAAACATATTTATCAAGTCAAGATCGTTCACAAAAAGTGTTTGAAGTCCATTTATGAAACAATATCTTTCATATCAAGTCAAGATTTCCATGAAGTTATCTTCCATACAATGTTTCGTATCAAATATGATGGATTTAGATCTTGTTGATATGCGTCCAGCATATGATGCTTTCTAAGTTAAAAGAAGCAATGAATTAATCATAAATGTGTGAAAATAAGTCATAAATGCAAGAAATATTGATTATTCATTCTCAATCATTCTCTCACTCAATTTATGCATTTTAATAGCAGGAAACACCAAAAATGAAGTGAAGGAGATAAGTTGAAGTTTTCCAACCAACGCGTTTTGCGCGGAGCATGGCGCAAATCGCGCCATTTGGGACCAACACCTTCTGTTTCCTGTCGCAATTTGCGCGGTGAGTGGCGCAATTTGCGCGGAGCTTGGCGCAAATCGTGCCATTTAGCAGTTTCAGCTCTATTTTCCCATGCAATTTGCACGGCTGCTGGCGCAAATTGCGTGGGTGATACTTTTAATTTTATTCTAATGCGAATTACATAAAAAGAGGGCCCAATTAGAGGGCAATTGAAAGTAGGTTTTCCCAAAACTTAATAAAAGGATCAGAAACAGAGGAAGGAAGAACTTTTGACAACAAGGAAAAGAAAGACAACAAGGAGAGGGAGAATTCTTGGGAGCTTCTTGGAGTTTCAGAGATTCAAACGATCAAGACGGAAGATCTTCATCTTCTTTCTCTTCTCTAGGTTCTGAATTTATTTTCTTTTATATTGATTTTGTCAGACATGAATATGCCTGGCTAGTTTTTATTATTGTGGTAAGGGTCACAACCCTTGATATGAACCCCTTGTAGTTTGGTTGATTTTATGTTTATTTATTTATATTGAATTTATTTTGCCTTTTTCTTCATTCCATAATTCTTTTGGAACTGATCACTCTATTAGGATTGCGAGGGTTAGGTTCAATAGGGATATTAGAATTCTAATTCCTGACAAAAGGTAAGATAACTGTTCATGTATGCACTAGGGATAGGCTATATGAATCGCAAACGTTAAAGATTCATTGATTCTAAGGTTTAACTTGAAAAGGAATTTCTAAGGGATTAGGATTCTAATAGAGTTAATAAGGTTAAAGTCACTAAGGAATTAGGGTTTAACTAATCATATAAAAGATGATGAATTGTTTGATCAATTGAATAGGTAAACATAAATGTAATTCAAGTTGCAAGGTGGGGATCATAAAGGTGTTGGCGTCTCTTTACCGCAATATTTTCTCAAATATTCACTCAACCTTTGTTCCGTTGTTCTTGAATTTCTTTAAGAACCTTTGAATCATTTACAATTTCTTGAATAGTTCTCAATTATTTCACAAACCACAATTGTTCTCAAACCATTTTTACTAATCCAATAAGAGAGGAATAATTATAATAACTTCTGTGCCTCAATCCTCGTGGAGACGATACTCTACTTACCCTTTTATTCTTTGGAACGATCGGTACACTTGCCGATTTCGCAACAAGTTTTTGGCGCCGTTGCTGGGGATTGAATATGCCAATTTTATTATAACTTTTGATTTTCTTGATTGGATTTTGTTTTGTTACTAATCTTTTTGCTTGCGTTTATGCGAGGTATAGTAAATCGAGACACTTTACAGTTTGATCCAGAAATCGAGAAAATTGTAAAGAAGAACCGAAAGCTAGCCAAGCAAAGAAAAGAGGAAGAGTCTTCGATTTTTAAGCCAAACACAGAACCAGTGATGGCAGCTAATAATCCACCTCTAGGAGAGGAATTGATGGAGTCAATTCTAGCTCCTCTTTTCACGAGGCCAAACTCTAGCATAGTCAGGCCATCGATAGATGCCAATAATTATGACATTCATCCGTCGCTGATTACTTTGGTGGAGAAGAATCCTTTTGGTGGAGAGGACTACGAAGATCCTCATGATTTCATATACAGATTTCTGAGAATCTGTGATACAACTAAGCATCATGGAGTGTCTGATGATGCAATCAGACTCCGGTTGTTTCCTTTTGCTTTGATCGGGAAAACCCTCAGATGGTTAGATCGACAAGCTCCTAACAGTATCCGAACATAGGATGAGTTAGCAGCCAAGTTCTTTGCTGAGCACTTTTCCGTAGAAAAGTACAATAAGTTGGTGAATGAAATCACCAACTTCACACAACAATCAGGAGAGAACTTATGTGCAACATGGACCAGATTTCAGGAGTTGATCAGAAAATGCCACCAATATGACTTACTAGACACCAAGAAGGTCAGAGTCTTCTACAATGGAATGACACCAGATTCCAGAATGGTTGTCAACGGTGCAGTCGGTGGAACTATAGGAAAGAAGACATCGGCTTAAACTCTAGAACTGATTGACTACATGGAAAGGAACGAAAATGCTTCAATGGAGGTTCAACCAGTTCAACAAATTCAATCAAACAAAGGACTTCCGCAACTAAGGAACAATGATGCGTCACTAACGGAGCAAAAGATTATATCCCAACAGCTAGCCAGTATGAATGCCAAGCTAGACAAGATGCAAATCTCTACAGCTCAGATTAATTCAGTTAACTGCGAGTACTGCAAAGGGGAGCATGAGACTAATTAGTGCCCAACACTCATGGGAGCTGAACCATTCCAGGTCAATGGAGTTTGGTATGATCCAAGGCCACCACAAAATACCCAAATTTTTCAGAGGAATCAGAATGGTGCTCAAGGAAGCAATTTTCAAAGGAGAATTCAAGGTGGAAAGTTGGATTATACATCTAACAATTATCTGCAACCTCATCCTCTTCCACATAAGGAGCTATCTGAACTAGAGAAAGCAATGCTGCAGCTTTCTAAGACTACAAATGATCACATGCAGACTACTGATGCCTTTATGAATGAGACAAGAGCCTACCATAAAAACCAAGATGCTTCCATCCTGAACTTGGAAAATCAGATAGGTCAACTGTCTAGGCAGCTAGCTGAAAGAGCTCAAGGGCAGTTTCCTAGTGATACTATTGTGAATCCGAAGGCACACTGCAAATCCATTGTAACTAGGAGTAGAATCGTGATCACTCATCAAGGCAAGCCAAAGATGGTTCAGAAAAAGAAAGTTGATGAATCAGTAATTGAACCAGAGCAAGAAAATGAGGAGAAAACATCTGCAAGTGAGAAAGAAAAGCCTGCAGAGAAAGAAAAAGAAGTGGCAGAAGAGAAACCTGTTGAAGCTCCGAAGAAGTTGATGGATTATTCTCGATTTGAGAAGCCTCCTTATCCCATGAAGCTCAAACAACAGGCACAGAAGCAACAATATGCCAGGTTTTTAGATATGTTTAAAAAGTTGAATATTAATATTCCTTTTGATGAGGCTTTAGCTAACATGCCTAACTATGCTAAATTCATGAAAGATTTGTTGTCTAGAAAGCATAAGTTGCAGGATTGTGAGACAGTAGCACTTACTGAAGAGTGCAGTGCCATTATACAAAAGAAGTTCCCACCAAAGCTTCGAGATCCTGGAAGTTTCAACATCCCAATTGCGGTAGGCAACACTAATGTTGGTCGGGCACTTTGTGATCTAGGAGCAAGCATCAATTTGATGCCATTGTCAATATGCAAGTCATTGGGAATCTCTGAGTTGAAACCAACCATGGTCCCTTTACAGCTTGCTGACCGTTCTTTGAGGAGACCTAATGGAATCATAGAAGATGTCCTTGTTAAAGTTGACAAGTTCATCTTCCCTGCTGATTTCATTGTGTTGGACATGGAGGAGGAGAGTGAAATACCTCTTCTGTTGGGTAGGCCGTTTTTGGCTATCGCACGAGCTATGATTGATGTAGAACAAGGAAAGCTCGAGTTGAGGATGAATGATGAGAAAATCACTATCAATGTTTTCGATGCTATGAAGAATTCATTTGATCATAGTGATTGTTTCAGACTTGATGTGTTTGAAGAGGTGGTTATGGAAGAGAAAAGTGATTATCAAGAGCTTGAAGAAGAGTTGAAGGCTCAAGAAGAAGCTACTCCACAAGAAGAGCTAGAAGTTATTTTTGAGGTGCTAGAAAAGAAAGAAAATGATCTAGTTACAGTAGCACCAAAAACAGAATTGAAAGAGTTACCTAAAACTCTGAAATATGCCTTTTTGGGAGATGAAGAACAATACCCTGTTATCATCAATAAAGAGTTGTCTATGGATTAAGAAGAGAAGTTGTTGAAAGTGCTCAATGTAAGAACCCGCACCGTTAATTAAGGAAATTAAGTAATTAATTATGTTAAATTAGGAAATAATTCCATAATTGACCCTAATAATTATTAAGAGGCTTTAATAATTATGATAATTGATTAAGAATGTTGAAAGTCGCTTTTCGGAAGAAAAGTGTAGATACCGGTTCTGCTAGTCGATATAAATGCGTACCAAAAAAGTATCCCGGAAAATTATAATAAGTGCATGATAATTACTAGAATAATATATAGGACTTGTAAAACGAGTTTCAAGTCCAAATAATGAGAACTGGTGCCAGAAACCGATACTGGCTATGAAAAGCGCGTACCGAAAAGGTGCTCCGAAAAATATAATAAAAATATGAAAATTCTTGTAAAATTGAGTAGGTTAAGAATCCAAAGTTTGAGATTAAAATGCTAAGCGTAACTAATTAAGTTAATATTGTGTGTTTAATGCTTAAGTGGCCTATAAATACACCGTTGAAGGGCACAAAACCCTAGAAAACAGACTTCTATGCGTGGATACCTTGGAGGCTGATCAGTTTGCACTGTTTTGGTGCTCTCTTCCCTCTTGTATGAGCCTTGTGACCTTCTACCTTCTAGATACTTCTTCCTAAACACTTGGTCTTGAGGGTGTGAGCCTTGTGAGCAGAAAAGAATCACCTTTCCGAGTTTGAGAACCTGTGTAAAGGGGGTTTGAGCTTCTGACTTTGGTTAGTTTGTTGGTGGGAGCTTGGAGTTGGTATTTTTGAGCTTCAAAGTGTCACTTTTGGGAAGAAAGAACCCATCTTGTTGGCCCATTTTCGTGTCCTTAAGTGTGCTGGGCTGTGGGAGCTTCAAGTGAGCTCCAAGAGCATCTCCCTTTGCTGTTTCAAGCTTGTGGTATGGTCATCACCCTTGAACTTGAGATTTTATGCTTAAAAATAGAACCTTGATGCATGTAATGGTTAAAAGATGATAACCTAACTTGGTGTAATGACAAACACACCTAGAAATGCATGTTTAGGCTTCTGTAATCGGTAAAAATGGAACCTTTGAAGGATATCTTCGCGAAATGCAGAAACTGCATTTTGTCGCGAAATATCCGGATATTTGCCCGTGAAATATCCGGATATGGGGATTTGGATATCCGGATATTGATATCCGGATATTGCCAGACAGATATCCGGATATTGCCCGAGAGATATCCGGATATGCCCCGAGGAATATCCGGATATTCTGGGATTTCGAAGAACAGTAGCTATGTTGTGAGGACAGTAGGCTATTGGGGGTTTGTGGACCCTAGAGTGATGAAGTTGAACTTCTATAATTAATGAACTAAGTCAGAATCATGTGATTTAGGGCTTGTGGTTTTGTTGGAAGCCTTAAGATGTAAATCGTTAAAGGAGAACGTAGCCTTTATGTTAATGCTTTTGAGCTATGTATGTTGATACACTTGCTGGTCCTAAATCAGATTGTGATCTGCTGTGTGTTGGACTTGAGCTGTGAGGACTCTTTGCATTGGATAGTGAGCTTGCAAGGTAAGCTTTCGTGTCATCGGTTTAGCCATGTTGTGGTTCCACCATGTCCCATGGGGGTATGGTTATATGCATGTTGTGTTACATGCTTTTGATGTTTTGGAAATGTTGTTGAGCTGTTATATGCTAGTGCCTTTATGATATGCATGTGGTGTTCCACATATACGGTAAACCCGAGTATGTGGTACATACAAGATGGTGAGGCGGTGGGTGAGGTGCAAGCAATGTTCCTTGTACTACATGTAGGTATAGACATATTCCTGCATTTCTCTGGCTAGTAGAATAATGATAAACACACATGGCATGAATATCTGTTGCACTGCATAGTTTTGGAACTGATATTGATATAAATGCTTTCAGAACTTATATTGCACATGTAAGTGAGCTTGGGGTGGAAGATCCTTGAGGACCCCTAGTCTTACTGAGATTTCTGGTTTAGAGATCTCACCCCACGTTTGAAGAATGCTTATTTTAGGATCAGGTAATGTGTGGGTTGAGGCCCCAGGCGGCAGGAGGCCGAAGCTGAGTTAGACATTGATGATATTATATGCTGACTTGTTGGATGCTGGATATGCATGCTGCTTTTACGCTTTGAGCTTCATTTTATGTTTATGATTATCTTGTTAAGACGCTGTTGATTTGGTGAGCATGCGGATTGTCCATGACACATAGACTAGTTATATCTTAGTTTTATATGGAGTTGTAATAATGTATCAGGATATTGTCCGGACTACGTGATGTAGATCTGTGATTTAGATACTCACTTTATTGATATATTGAGGTATTTTAGTAGATGTCTTATTGCAATTTACATTCAGGCGATGTTTTATGAAATTGATTAAGTAATCAAGTTGGTAATTGATAATGACGTCATAATTGAAAAGAAAAAGAATATTCCGCATTTTTAATTAAGCGTAGCTTAATACGATGTAATGATAACACTACTGGATATATACGGGGTGTTACATTTTATGGTATCAGAGCAACGGTTCAAGGGAAAAACATGTATGTATTGCAATGATTAGGATGTTTGGTTGTGTCTGTTTTGTGGGTTTGTTTCGTCGAGTATTATTATGATAATGCATATGTGATCACATTGCGTGGGCCTAATCAACTCATAATATGTGTAACTTGTGCAGAGTCATGGTAAGACCCGGGAGAAACCGCGAGACTTCGGAGGATCAGCCCGATCCTGTCCTGGCTGCATTGGCTGAGATGCAGGCGGCCCGACAAGCCGACCAGGAGGCCATGAGAATGGCAAACCAGGCGATGCTGGACGCCGTCAGGGAGGCGAACAGGAAGGCCACTGAGGACGTGTTGGAGGCCAACCGTCTGGCGAACATGACGATGTTTAGAGTCATGTTAGAGGAGATGAGGAATGGTCCAACTGTTGGCCATGTTCCTCCGCCACCACCACCACCTCCACCCAGTCTACAGGATGACTCTCAGAGTCAGATGGGTGATGGCAGTCACCTTACGGGGGTCGTGCAGACCGTCCCTATTTTTGTTGAGGATCGAGATGAGATCGATCACCGGCTGAATGCTTTTTGTAAGCATAAGCCACCTGCCTTTGATGGATCCTTTGATCCTGTTGCTGCGGCGCGTTGGCTTTAGGCGTTGGACAAGATATTATGGGTCATGCAGTGCACAGATCCGCAGAAGCTGATGTTCGCTACTTACATGCTGGAGGGCGATGCCCACGAGTGGTGGACGAACACTTCTCACATTTACGAGATGCAGGGCCATCGGATGACGTGGCCATTGTTCGAGGATTTCTTCTTGGGTCAGTACTTTCCGTATGACGCTCAGGAGAGGCAGCAGGGAAAGTTTGACCATTTGGTTCAGGGCTCGTTGTCTGTGGACGAGTCCCTGGCCAAGTTCAACCAGCTGGTGAAGTTTGCACACTTCAGGATGGCGAGGCCTACTCCTACATTCTTGGCTGCTAAGTTCCGTAGGGGACTTAGTGAGGATATTGCTGGTTACCTTGCTGGTTCTGCTTCTAGAGATTTTGGGACACTGGTTCAGCAGTGTCGTGATATTGAGGATTTCTACAGCACGAGTAAGGCCAAGAAGGCCAAGGTTGCTGAGGCGACGAAGGTTGTAGTTGGTAGTTCCACTTCTTGGAGAGACAGGAAGTTTGGGAACAAGGGTAAAGGAAAACAGATGGCAGCTCGGCAGGCGCCGAATCAGTTTAAGAGGAATTCTGCTCAGGGGGGCGTAGCGAGACCTCATGCGCCTAGGTGTTCGGGATGCGGGAAGACTCATTTTGGGCCGTGTTCTACCGGCCAGTTGATTTGTTTCCAGTGTGGCAAGGAGGGCCACTTCTCCAGGGATTGTCCGTCGGTGACGACGAGAGTGGCTGCAGTTCAGGCAGCGCCACTACAGATGGTTCCCCTTCCACCTACTTCGGCACTGGCAGTGCCACCGTCTACTGGGTGTGTTTATACTCTGGATCTTCAGCAGTCGGATAGAGCTCCGAACCTTGTTAGAGGTACAGTTACTATTGGTGCATCATCAGTTGATGTCTTGTTTGACTCTGGGGCTACGCACACATTTGTTGCTACCCCGATTGCTGTGGGGCTTGAGTTGTCCATGTCTGTGCTTTCTCCACTGTTGTGGGTGACCACCGCCACCGGAGAAAAGTGTGATGCGACCATTGTTCATCGTGATGTAGCGTTTCGTGGGATGGCCATGAGTTCTCGATAGATCTGATAGGATTGCCGATGGCTAACTTGGAGGCTATTCTGGGCATGGATTGGCTGTCCAGAAATTGTGTGAAGATTGACTGTTGTGCCAAGCGTGTGGTGATGTCTCTGTGTGATTCCACAGCTAGTTCCTCGCCGTACATTTCGTTGCTGCAGGCTAGGAGAGCCTTGAGAGCAGGGGCATTTGGATATGTCATGTTGGGAGGTTTGGTGAGTGGGACACATGAGGATATCACTGGCATTCCGGTGGTGAGGGAATTCCTCGAGGTGTTTCCTGAGGAGATTCCTGAGTTTCCGCCACAGAGGGAGATAGAGTTCTCCATTGATCTGTTGCCTGGTGTGGGGCCTATTTCATTAGCTCCATGCTGGATGTCGCCACCGGAGCTGGCAGAGCTGAAGAAGCATATTGAGGATCTTTCAGCGAAAGATTTCATTAGACCGAGTGTGTCTCCTTGGGGAGCACCAGTCATTTTTGTGAAGAAGAAGGACGGGACAATGCGATTGTGCACCGACTACAGGCAGCTGAACAAGGTGACGATCAAGAACAAGTATCCCCTTCCTCGGATTGATGATCTGTTGGATCAGCTCAGGGGTGCTTGCGTGTATTTCAAGATTGATCTTCGGTCTGGATACCATCAGATTCGGGTGAAGCCGGAGGATGTCCCTAAGACCGCATTTCGTTCGAGATACGATCACTTTGAGTATTTGGTGATTCCGCTTGGACTCACTAATGCACCTGCTGTGTTCATGGATTA